GGATACCCCCATTAGACACTGTAATGTACAACATGGTGGGGGCGGTCTGATTCAATCAGGATGTCAACATGGTCACTCTCACACACACACACACACACACACACACAGACACACACACTCACACACACACATTCACACTCTCACACACACATTCACACTCTCTCTCACACACACACACACACACTCACTCACACACACACACACACTCACAGACACACACTCTCTCTCTCACACACACACAGACACACACACAAAACACACACACGCACACACAAGCACACACGTACACACACACACCCCACACCTACACACATGTGCATGCACGCACGCGCGCGCGCACACACACATACACACACACTCACACAGACACACACACACACTCTCACACACATTCACTCACACACACTCTCACACAACACACACCCAACCCACCCACCCACACACACACAAATACACACACTCATACAGACACACATCCACCCTCCCACACACACACAGACAGACACACACACACACAAACACACACACACACCTACAAACACACACACTCACATGCACACACACACGCACAAACACACATAGACACACACACACCCAACCCACCCACACACACACACAAATACACACACTCACACAGACACACACCCACCCTCCCACACACACTCAGACAGACAGACAGACACACACACCCCCACAAACACACACACTCACATGCACACACACACACCCAACCCACCCACACACACACACAAATACACACACTCACACAGACACACACCCACCCTCCCACACACACTCAGACAGACACACACACACACACACACACACAAACACACACAGACACACACAAACACACACACATACACACAGACACACACAAACACACCTCCCCCACAAACACACACTCTCTCTCACTCACACAAACACACACACACAAACACACACACACACACACACACACACACACACAAACATTCTGGAGAGGGATGTGAAGAACCTCCTCCATTTTCACAACACAACGAAATAACATACCAATTGGAAAACATGATGTAGAGGTGCCGGTGTTGGACTGGGGCAGGCACCAATGCAGGCACGATGGGCTGAAAGGCCTTCTTCTGCACCATAAATATTTCTATAATTCTGTGGGGTGAGGGTTCAAATTGTGGAATTGAAATTCAATGAACGAATCTGGAATTTGAAAGTCACGTTCGGCCATGGTGACTATGGAACGATGATCGACTGTTGCCAAAAACCAACTGGTTCACCAATTTCCTTTATTGAAGGAAATCTGCCATCCCTGTGTAGTCTGACGTACACGTGACTCCAGACCACTCTACACTTTGGTGTTTTGAGGAATGAGAGATGGTCTCATTGAAAAATGTAAGGCTCTAAAGGGGCTTGATGGGGTAAATGCTGAGGGTGTTTCCACTCATGGGACAGTCTAGGGCCATAAAGGGGCACCAATTGAAGACTGAGATAAGAAGGAATTTCTTCTGTCAGAGGATTGTGAGTCTTTGGAACTCATTGCCACAGAGACCTGCGGGGGCAGAGCCCTTGTGTATATTTAAGGCTGAGTTAGAGATTCTTGATCAGTAGAAAAATCAAGAGTTATGGGGAAAGGGCAGGAAAGTGGATGTGAGGAATGTTGGATCAGCCATGATCCTATTGAATAGCGGAGCAAGCTTGAGGGGCCGAATGGCCTACTCCTATTCCTATTTCTTATAGTGCGAAGGACCCACAGTGATCAAGGTCCATTAAAAATGGGCAATAAATGCTGGTCTTGGCAGGGTTGTCCACATCCCATGAGAAAATAAAATCAAAATATGACTGAGGGAGTGCTGCATTGTCAAAGGTGCTACCTTTCAGATGCGTTGTTAAACTGACGCACCCATCTGAGCCGTTGGATCAATCTAAACCATCCAATGGTACTAAATTGTTGAAGGGTTCTCGCCAGTGTCCTGCCCTATCTTTATTCCTCAATCAACATGTCGGTCTAAATAGTCAAATGGTGAAGAAGACATAAAAAGCCTGCAAAGGGATATACATTGGTGAAGTGAGTGGGCAAAACCTTGGCAGATGGGAAACTTGAGGTTGGCAGAAAGAATAGAGGAGCTCAGCAGCATTGAAATGGAGAAAGAAAACTGTGATCCAAAGGGATTTGGGAGCGCTGGCATATAAATCTCAAAAATCTAGCATCCAAGTTCAGCGAGTAACAGGGAAGGCAACTGGAACATTGGCTTTTGTTTCAAAGGGAATGGAATATTAAATAGGGAGGCTTTTGCCAAAACTGTATAAGGCACTAATCAGACTGTGAACACTTTGGAACCCTTATCTAAAGCATGTTATACTGACATTGGAGACAGGTCAGAGATTTTTCGCTGGGCTGATCCCAGGTATGGAGGAGAGGTTGAGTAGATTGGGCATGTATTCATTGAGGTATAGGAGAATGAGAGGCAACCTTACTGAAACATACAAGATTCTTATCCATTATGGGAGAGTCTCAGACCAAAATATGGACTCACGCTTTTAACATAGAAACATAGAAAATAGGAGCAGGAGGAGGCCATTCAGCCCTTCAAGCCTGCACCACCATTCAATACGATCATGGCTGATCACGCAATCTCAGTATCCCATTCCCTTTTTCTCTCCCTATATCCCTTGATCCCTTTAGCCACAAGGGCCATGTCCAGCTCCCTCTTGAATATAACTAATAAACTAGCCCCAACAGCTTCCTGTGGGTGAGAATTCCACAGGTTCACAAATCTCTGAGTGAACAAATTCTTCCTCCTCTCAGTCCTGAATGGCTTACCCCTTATTCTTAGACTGTGACCCCTAGTTCTGACTTCCCCAAGATCGGGAACATTCTCCCTGCATCTCGCCTGGCTCGTCCCATCAGGATTTTATATGTTTCTATGAGATATCCCCTCAATTTTCTAAAATTCCAGTGAATCCAAACTGAGTCGACCTAGTTTCTAAGACAGAAGTGAGGAGGAATGTCTTCTCTTACACTGTAGTGAACCTGTGGAATTCTTTACTGCAGATGGGATGTCAAGGCTGAATCATCCAGTATACTCAAAGCTGAGATAGATTTTTAACCAGTAAGTGAATCAAGGGTGATGGGGAAACGGCAGGATATTGACTGGTGGAGCTGTCTCAATGCTCTGATTGGTCTACTCCTGCTCCAAGGTCTTAAGGCTTTATGGTCTATCACCAAAACAGATAGGTGTATCATTATGACGTTGCTGATTGTGGGATCCCGCTGTGTGCAATTTGGCTTCTCCATTTCCCACATTACAGCAATGATTACACTTCAACACTTACTTCATTGGCCACACTGCAATTTGAGACATCCAGGGGTAGTGATAAAAGTGCTATGTAAATAAAAGTCTTTTCATAATATAAACACAGGAAGTGCAGGAGAGATGCAGTACATCCAGCAACCATCCCAGACTTTCCAGGACTGTTGAGGGAATTGTCCGCTGTCTCAGGGTCCTGGATGCTGGAACGTTGCTTGTCCTGTATTTTTGGAGACATCACGAGAAACGACTATCAGGGAGACATGTGCAGTACTAACAGACACCCACACCCCCCTTCTCCCACAGTCTGGACAGAAATCCTACCCCATTCCACCATCATTCCCCATCCCCCCCGTCTCCCATGCCCTCACCACCTAAACACCAAACACACACACCCTCCCATGGGCTTCTCAACTGAGCCCCACCCCCAACCCCAGTTTACCCCATCCCCATAGACTGGATACCAACCAAGCCAAAATCTCAGCTCCTGTGGTGTTACCGACATCTCCCATTGCCCACTGCTACCAGCCTGACCTGCCCCCCACTCCCACCAACCCCCTCCCCCACCCCCCACGGCCTGGGCACTGAACCAATCTCCCCTTTGACAGTCCCTACAGTCTCACTAACAATGGTGTCAGTCCCCCCTCACCCCCTCCAGGACCACATGCCAGCGATAACCTTTTTGGCCATGTTATGAACAACACTCGAATTGTTAATAAAACCCAAAAAAACTGTGGATGCTGATGCCCACCTGTCATTTACTCCTGACCCCCTCCCCCCATCTTATCTCCTGCACAAAAACTGACATTTTCCTGACTACCACCAGTTCTGAGGAAGGGTCACTGGACCTGAAACGTTAACTCTGACTTCTCTCCACAGATGCTGCCAGACCTGCTGAGCTTTTCCAGCAATTTCCATTCTTGATCCAAATCCTTCCCATTCATTGGCCCTGAATTTGTTTTTAATCTTACACCATAAGACGATACGATACGGGAGAAGAATTAGGACATTTAGCCCATCATGTCTGTGTTGCCATTCAATCAAAGTTAATATGTTTCTCAACCCCATTCTCCTGCCTTTCCCCCCGTAACCCTTGACTCCCCCTAATAACCAAGAGCCCATCTATCTCTGTCTTAACTCAATGACTTGGCCTCCACAGCACCCTGCAGCAATAGTTGAACAGATTCACCACCCTCTGGCTGAAGAAATTCCTCCTCAACTCAGTTCGAAAGAGTTGTCCCTTCAGCCTGAGGCTGTGCCCTCAGGTCCAGGTCTCTCCTACTCGCGGTAACATCTTCTCCATGTCCACTCTACCCACACCACTCAACATTCTGGCCCACCCTCACCAGCACCGCACTCTCCCCACTGCCCCCAGAGTCGGTCACCCTGTGCTTTAAAGTCAATAAAATGTTTCTCTGTGGTTAAATTTCCGAATTGGGCAGTATTTTTTCAGAAAACCCAGTACAGGCACAAGGGGCCGAATGGCCTGCCGCTGGACTGCTACATTCTGTGAGACGTTCTTCTGAACTCCAGCGATCTCCTCAGGCCAGGAGGAAAGAGGCCCCTGCCAACCAGCAGATGGCGGTGGCGGTGGAGATGGAGGGAGGCGTCGATGTGGCCGCCAACCAGCAGGTGGCGGTGGCGGTGGAGGGCAGCGTCGATGCGGCCGCCGACCGACAGATGGCGGCGGCGGCGGAGGGCCGTTATCGGCCTTAGGGGTGAACGGAGGTCCGGGGAACATGACTCCTCTCCTGGAGCACGAGAGCCAGATCTTCCTGGATTTATTTCATGAAGATGGGTTGGTCATCATGGCCAAGGGCATGGGGGTGGACAGGATTCTCTTCAACTTCCTCAAGTTATACAGTGACCCCGGGAACCTGGTCCTGGTGCTCAACACCGGTGTTGCCGAGGAGGTAAGATAGAGCCTGGGCCTGCCCTGCCCTCAGTCCCTCACGTCTCCCCCCACCCCCACCCCCACCCCCAGAACCTTCCTCCTCCTCCTCTCCCCCACACACCCACCCTCCCCGCTCTATCTCCCCCCCCC